AACAACATGTGTGTAATAATAATTGACAAACTTCTGGGGAGTTGCCAAACCTTTCAGTGACTGCCTCATCCTCTATCCCCCTGTCTCATTCTCCCCCTTTGTAAAAAAAAAAAAAAAGATTGAACATTTATTGTATTTTTAAATTCACACAAATTAACCTACAGTTGCTTCAAGACCAGTATAATACCAATCTAATGACTAAAGCAGGTGACAGCAGCGGGGGGAACATTTCAAACTGAAAGTCCTCCTACAGAGGTCATAAAGACATTTCTCTAATGATGAATCTGAGTGGAGGGGTGGAGGAAAGAGAACAGAGCATATTTTTTCCTAATAGGGCAGAGCTAGCGGTGCTTGAAGCTACCCAGCGTCCATTGTACTTGTCCCACAGAAAGAGAAACATTATTCAAGTCTCTTTCAGGCCAGAGAGAGAAACACAGTAATTATCGTGGGCTCTCTCAGCTAAACCTCCGACCTCCCCTCCCTCGGTCCCTCTGCGCCCCACTGTACCCTTTCTGTGTGCTTATTGTCTAGGCTCCTTTAAAAAAGCCTTCTCTAATGAGGGGGACTGGCCCGGGCTAATGGGCTCAAATAAGTTCCTCTCCGAAGCATTGTTGTGGGATAATGGCGCTATGAGCCCCAGGTGTAAACTTGCAGACGCCATATTGTGCATGACCTACATAGAGCTGCATGTGAATTCCTGCTAAATTCTATTTGTCCCAGCAAACTCTCCTCTCTTTTTTTTTGTTCTGAGAGTAGAGTCAATTATGGCAGTCAGGGATTAGGCCTAGCTGCTTTTGGGAGAGATGCAGGAGGAGGCAGAGAAGGATTTGTAGTTCAGTTTTATAGCTCAATACTATAATGGATAAATACCCTTTGAAATGGGATTATAATGAAATAATATACAAATAAATAGAGCAGTATATAATGTGTTAACCTCAAGGACACCATGGCATTGAACACAGTTGAAGCACGAACACTACTAACATTGAATGGTATTGGTTGCTTCCTTCAGAGACTTGAAGAAAATATTGTTCATTCATCAAGTAAAGTATAAATACAAATTTGTCACATAATGATTATATTTGTGTAATACAATAATGCATATTATGTCATCTTCCTCCCACAGCGTCTGTATCCAGCAAGACACAACAAAACTTTCAATCTAAGTGCACTGCCTGGATACGAGATTGACATTGCAAATAAGGTTGAGTATCAACATCAAGAACAAGACCATTTCTATCCATATCCCCCTCATTTTTCCATCTAACAGCACTCTTTCCCTCCCTCGTTTCTTGACCCACGCACTCCACTATCTATATCTCTTTTCTCTCTCTCTGTCTCTCCCATCCATCTCCCCCTGTATTTTGATTATACCCTCCTGTACTGATGACTAAATTATGATTGGGTTTAAGGATGGCAGTGCTTTCATCTGGCCAGTGTTGTTCTGCTCTCTCCCTCTCCAACACAAAGGGCCCGCTACCTCTGCTCTGCTCGACCGCTTTTGAAGAGTAGAGTGGCTGTTGGGTCCCCATGGAAACGGCAGGACGGGCCTCTTATGTCCTCCCTACCAGAGCAAGGTGTCTTCACCACAGAACAGAGACAGAGTTTGAACACAGACAGAAGAACACAAAGGAAAACACAGCTCTTATCTTATAAATCTATGAAAAGGAAGTGATTTCAGGAGAAATAGGGGCAATTTGACTGTGTATTATGATCTGTTTTTTTTAAATGTTAGAATGGCATTTTTTGCCAGGATGTCTGTTTGCTATGCAATGCTAAGTCACATACCGGTAGACATCTAGTACATTTCAATCCCTATGTAAAAAGGTAAAAGAGAACAATCATAATCATGCCATTATGTTGCCATTATATATGCTGTTCCACAGGGGCCTGTAAAGGGCATAGTATGTTATAATTATGAATATCATGACTATAGGATATGAGAGGGAGGATGGACAAATACTTAATTGAAAGGGGGCCCAATGTATAGCAGTAAACATTTAGGACCACAAAACTAAACCTGAATCTGTTCATTCAAAGCACTGACTAAACCAACAGTATCAACATATGACCAACCTGAAGAGACAGCTTCCTGGCTGGATGTACCCAGCTAGCACATTTGGTTCCTTGGAAGTTGTGGGAACGTATGTTTTTGGTTTCACATTGGTTGTGGGAACAAAGCCATATGTTTCCTGACTTTTCTGGGAATGTTATTTTTAGGTTACAGGGAGGTTCTGAGAACGTTTTACTCTGGTTCCTTGAACGTTTTCCTGGGAGGTTTTATTAACACTCCGAGAACGGAAATTATAGGTTATTTGGAGGTTTTTTAATAACTTCCTTAACTTTCACTGAATGTTTCAATATGACTTTTATTAACACTGCTAGTTTATTTGGGGTTAACTTTTCTGAACTGCAAGCACATAGGACACATGGAACTTAATTTCCTTAGACATCATGCAAACACATTTATTTATTTATTTATTGTGACACAGCACCAGTGAGATTCGAACCTATAATCTTCTGTTCTCTATCAATGGAATAAGTCCACCGCGCCACCAGGATGGAGCTAGCATGCCATGTTTTTTTTTTTACATTTACATTTTAGTCATTTAGCAGACACTCTTATCCAGAGCGACTTACAGATTTTACATATACAAAGCTGTTAATTTTAGTCTATTCAAACAGATTTCAATGGAAACACGCACTCATTAAGACACCTGAACACACTTAACAAGATAGAGTTTAATTGATGCTGAGAACTGAATGTATGTTTTTAAATAACATTCTTAGAACGTTCTCTGAACGTTACTAAAGTTGTGGTTTTCATGGAAAGTTTTCTTAACGTTCTCAGAACAATTTGAGAACATTACTTTAAATAGAACCATGAGGAAACCTGCAGGAAACATTATGCTGAAGTACTGAAATTCCCACAGAAGAACGTTGTTTCTTAACGTTCTCTGAACTATTTGAGAACATTCCTAATGTCAAACTAGTTGGAGAACGTTCCTAGAACATTACCAAATTTGAAATTAAATGTAGCCATGTTTAAAGTTCCAGGAAACGTTCTATTAACCCTTTACACTAGTGGGAATTGACCTATATGGCAGATCCGTGTTTGATCCCGGGCTGTGTCGCAGCCGGCTGCGACTGGGAGACCAATGAGGCAACGCACAATTGGCCCAGCGTCGTCCAGGTTAGGGGAGGGTTTGGCCGGCCGGGATGTCCTTGTCCCGTCACGCTCTAGCGACTCCTGTGGCGGGCCGGGCGCATACGCGCTGACACGGTCGCCAGTTGTACGGTGTTTCCTCCGACACATTGGTGCGGCTGGCTTCCGGGTTAAGCGAGCAGTGTGTCAAGAAGCAGTGCGGCTTGGCAGGGTCGTGTTTCGGAAGACGCATGGCTCTCGACCTTCGCCTCTCCCGAGACCTTACTGGAGTTGCAGCAATGGGACAAGACTGTAACTACCAATTGGATATCACAAAATTGGGGAGAAAAAGTGGTAAAAAGCTAAATAAAAGTTTATAAAATAAAATCACAATTACTGTTGTTGTTTACACAATCCCAAAACGGTCCATTATAAATCGCAATCTGGGTCAGTGGGCATCATTTGAAAGCTTGTTCTACTAGGTAAATTATAAAATACAGTGTGTTAGGCTTTCACAAGGCAATTCAGAGAAGCAGATCGTAATTTTGGTGCGCATAGAATGGAGTCATGAGTGCATTCAGATGCGTGGTCCGCAGCAAAGTTTCTTCACAATATAACAAACAGGCTCATTATGTTCAGGACAATCCAGGGTATAATGCCATGTCATCTTGTAACTGTACATCAAACATAGTGATCATAAACGTTGACACTGTATATGACATGAGTTTTATGATATGGAAATGTAAAGTGCACATTTTGACTCACGGGTGTATGGCTTCCTTGTATGACATCAAAGCGGTATTTATTATAATCCTCAATGTCTCATCTTTCAAAATACATTGAGTTCACTTAATTTACAGCATTTCCCTCACTGAAACAACAAAAAATTTTACAAAAGCTGCCCAATTAGCGGGAAGGATGGGGGCAACGTCTTGTCAGTCAAAACCCAATCAGAGCTGTAAAGCGGAGATCCTGAGCGCTGACGTCACGTATAGCATGTTACTGTACAGCCACTGCATTCCAATTTAGACACCTATAAAGTTACATTAATGAAATACCAAGTAAATAACATTTTTTGTCAAGGTCCTTAAATGTGCTGACAATGTTCCAAAGCCAAGCAACTATCCTGCACTATTCCGAGAAAGTTGTGGGAAGGTTGTATGCAAAAGAACCATAGGAAAATCACGCTCTCACCAAGCTCTAAGAAACATGGTTTTCACAACATGATGTGCTAGCTGGGTAGTCTCCATAGAGATACAGCTTTAGAAAGCACAGGAGGTTGGTGGCTCCTTAATTGGGTAGGACAGACTTGTGGTAATAGCTGGAGCGGAATTAGTGGAATGGTACCAAATACTGTACATCAAACACATGGTTTCCATGTGTTACTGCCATTCCATTCACGCTATTCCAGCCATTATTATGAGCCATCCTCTCCTCAGCAGCACCAGTGAGATTCAAACCTATAATCTTCTGTTCTCCATCAATGGAATAAGTCCACTGCGCCACCAGGATGGAGGTAGTGCCTAGCGTTTTTACGCTTACAAAGTTGTTAATTTTAGTCTATTCAAACAGACCCCATTTCAAAGGAAACAGCAACAGCACTCATTAAGATCAGTTGTGGCCAATTAATGGGTGAGGCCAACACACCTAAACAGGACAGAGGATAGAGTTTTGTTGATGCTAAGAATGGAACGTATGTTTTTAAATAACATTCTTAGAATGTTCTCTAAACATTACTAAAGTTGTGGTTTTTATGGAATGTTTTCTTAATGTTCTTGGAACAATATGAGAACATGACTTTAAATAGAACCATGAGGAAACCTGTAGGAAACATTATGCTGAAGTATTGAAATTCCCACAGAAGAATGTTGTTTCTTAACATTCTGGGAACAATCTGAAAACATTCCCAATGTCAAACCAGTTGGAGAATGTTCCAAGAACACAACCAAAATTAAATGTAACCATGTTTAAACTTTTAGGAAACGTTCTGTTCAAGTAATGAAATTATTTTTTTATCAAGTTCCTTAAATGTGCTGAGAATGTTCCAAAGCCAAGCAACTATCCTGCACCATTCCCAGAAAGTTTTGGGACGATTGAATGCAAAATAACCATAGGACAACCACACACTCACCAAGCTCTAAGAAACATTTTCTGAATGTTATGTGCTAGCTGGGTTTACTCCCTCTGAGGGCTGACAGATCAATAAGACAGAGACATCAACAACATGCCATGTTGGCCCATCCATCCCTGATTGAAAACAGTAACCACTGTTCACATTCACAGATAATGATCCTGGTCTTTCAGTGGCACAGCCATCTTTGTGGAGTCTCAGACTGGCAAATGAGACTTCCTTCTCCCGGACAAAATCCAATTATTTTGGGACAATAGTAGCAGCCCTGCAGGCTTTGATACCTTTTTGGAAACCTTGGTTTTCTCCATCTACCATTGGATGTCCAAGTGCCTCTGCTTTCCTTTCCTCTGGGTCCATCTATCCATCTCTGTTTCCGTTGGATTAACCAAGTGGATTCCATCTGTTGCAAAAAGCTAATCATGTCAAGGGTGCTCCTGAGTGTGTATGTGAGGACAGTGCACCGCTGTAGGCCTATCCTCCCCATGTGGACACATCACCCACAGTCAGTCATCCAGACAGTGCTATATTAGGATTATAGGGATGTCGTGCTGCAACTGATAGACAATAGGCTATTCATATCCAATGTATTATTTTATCTCTGCATGAAATTAAAGAAGCTATGGATTATATATTCATTCCACTTCAGTGACTGAATACAGGCTTAGTCCAGGTTGTCAACCTATGATATTGTGCATTAATAGTAGTCATATTGGTTTGCATGATTACTCTGATACTGCTTTGTACCAGGTGTTACTTTGCAAACCTAGCATTATATTCAGTGTTTTGAGAGCAGTTAAAGAAAGCAATATGCACAGACATCATCACGACGCTCAATCATGACAATGTCACATGGATTACAATGGCACCATCTGGTGGCAAACTTTAAGAGGAAAATGTATTTCTACAAACTTCCAAAGCTGTTCTTGTAAGATATAGTGGAGCTAGATAAACATAGTTATATATTTTTTAACATTGTGATCGATGTGGTAATAGACAAATACTTAAAATAAAAACATTTATTGAGTTGATATTCTAACCACACACACCGTTGAGTACAAACCTACAACCCCTGATACTATGTGCTTACTGGCAGATGTACATTGACACTGGTTTCTGTATTTGAGGGGTAAAGTGTTAAGCTATGGATTATACACACAAAGACAACCAGCAGGCTCACAACAACCCCTTCCACAACCATCCATAAGGAGTAAGTGATGCTAATACCTTTATGTGAATCAAAGACACCGTCAACATAATCAAAAATCAAGCAGGCTTTTGTCTACTACAGTGGTTGTCATGGAATATATTATGTGTGACAGACTGAGATCGATTACTTGACATAAAACAAATAAGGCAACAAGGTTAAGACCACCCTCGGACAAACTCCGGCAGGACAATCCCCTAGTACTGATCACTGACAGACAACACTTAAAAACACACACATCATCATTAAAAAAACCATCGTGCAATTATCGCAAAATATATCACTGACTCTTTCTGTGTCCAGTCTGATTTCTGGAGCCCTCTGTATGTGATGGTATTGACAGTCATAAGATCCTACTTGGCGGAATCCTAACTTGGATACTCACACTTAACTCTCAGATTTCTTAAATCATGACAATCATCAGTCAGTGGTTCAGTATTGGCTTGGGGCCCATAGTCCGGGTATCAACAGTGTGTGTGATTGGGAGATGAGGAGATCACAGTTTGGGTTGGTTGGACATCTTGATCTTCAGGTTCTCTGACAGCTTATCCAAGAATTCAAAGGTGTTCAGGTAGTCTGAGCGTTTGGTACTAAGAAAGGAGGAGAGGAGAAAAGTAAGATGAAGGAGGAGAAAGAAAGAAAGTTTGAATCAGTCTAGTTTCATAATCAGGTTTACTGTGTGTGTGTGTGTGTGTGTGTGTGTCTGTGTGTCTGTGTGTCTGTGTGTGAGTGAGAGAGAGTGAGAGAGATACTCACTCTGCCATGCCTTTGACACAGATAGCCAGATCCTTGGTCATGAAACCAGCCTCGATTGTCTCAATGCAGACAACCTCCAGGGCCTCAGCAAACACACGCAGCTCTGCGTTGTCATCCAGCTTCGCCCGGTGCAGCAGCCCCCGCGACCACGCAAAGATGGACGCTGCACACACACACAACCACAACACATAAGGGCCATCTTTTCCTAGGTCCTTGTATTGCCTTTATTTCTCTTGGCTGGTACATTCAGATCTAAAAACACTGAAAAGGAAGAAGCTAGGCTAGAGGTTTTTAGAGGTTTTTAGCAGGTATCAGTCAGAGAGATACAATATAATATGTTCCATTTCATTGTATAAGTGTGTTATTTACCAATGGGGTTGGTGGAGGTCTCCTTGCCCTGCTGGTGCTGTCTGTAGTGGCGTGTAACTGTGCCGTGGGCAGCCTCTGACTCCACTGTACGACCGTCAGGACAGATGAGCACACTGGTCATCATACCCAGGGACCCATAGCCTGGTGGACACACAAATGCATTAAATATATCTGTCGCAAAGTGCTTAACAGCAAACTGGATCTAAAAGCTTGTTCTGCCAGAATGGGCGACTGTGGAAAAAAACAACTAAATAAGCATTCTCCTCATTATCCTGGAACTCCTGTTGCTAAAAGTGTAACTCAATTTCTATTTGAATACAGTGTATAGTCTGCCTTAAACCTACATTTAAAAGGTGAGAAATATAGCAATGTAGCCAATGACATTGTTTTCATTCAGAAAGCCTAGCTAAACAGTAAATCATCACGTAATACTGTATATCCCTCAGAGCTAGCTACTGTAGTATACATGTAGACCATCTCACCTTGTGCTACAGAGTCAGACTGGACGTCTCCGTCATAATTCTTGCAGGCCCAGATGAATCCTCCATCAGACTTCATGGCCTGAGCCACCATGTCATCAATCAGACGATGCTCATACCAGATCCCCTTCTGCTCAAACTTAGAGCGGTACTCCCTACGACACACACAGGAACAGGTCTGAGAACAGGGTTTATACACCTAAACCTTAAAACTGTCCATTCTAAACTTGTGAGTCATACATTGAAAAGAGGCATGGTAGTTGGGGGGGCTTGTCTGCCATTGACCATATATCATCAACCATACTTTGTTTATGATGATCATGTTTCATGTGTATTGTCTACTTCCTGAAAATTATATTGCCAATAGGGACAATGATTTACTCGAGTTGATTAAATGTTCTGAGGTTAGGCAGTCTTACTTCTCGTAGATCTCCTGAAAGATATCTTTGAAGCGTCCGTCGTACTTCTTGAGGATGGTGTTCTTGGTGCTGAGGTACAAAGGCCAGCCTTTAACCAGGCCCATCTGGAAGGAGCTGTGGGCAAAGTCCCTGATGGAGCTGTCTGTGTTGTACATCCCCAGAGCCACGCCACCTGAACCTGGAGAGAAGAGAGACAGACACATGCATCAATCTCATGAAGATACTGTACACACTCACATAAACACACACAAAGAAACATGCATGCACACACAGCCTCATTAAGACAGCCTTTCCTCATTTTGAAGGTTCAAACAGAACGATGGAGCCAACCTTAATCAAAGTTCAATGTTTGTCAAGAGTATGTTCAGGAAAGGGAGGTACATGGGTGATTTATCCTTCAAGCAGAGTTAAATCAGATAACGATGTTCTCATTTTGTAATATTTACACTGCAAACATATGTAAAGATACCCAGGCTGGCACCATAGGCTATCTCGTATTGACTAACACAATGTTATGTAAGGGAGACAAGCTGTACTGGACATTATTTCCCTTACAAGCACAAAGATGGTTTTACCTTCAAAGTCATGGACGACAAAGTTCATTGGCTCCCCAGTCTTCGGTGTGAATTTCATCTCCAATCTCCCAGGCCCCGGGACTACAAAGTCTGTGGCTTTGTACTGTGAAAAGAGGCAGGATGAGAGGTCAATAGATGTAATACAGACAGGGCTCCATCTAGTGGAGAAAAACAGCAATGCAACCCATCTGGTGCAACAGGTAATAATGGCAGACCCTGGGTGTGACCCCACTCTCCGAGGGCGTCTCAGGGGGATATGCTAAAAACACATTTCCAATTCACACATGCGTATTAATACACACTTGTACGTGTATGAAATAGGACAAATATAAGCACCCACCTAATTATTACTAATATCCACTGGTTAGATAACAGTTCTTTATGAATAGATGACAGGTTACAATGCTGTTGTAGAGCTGAGGAACAGATATATTGGGCTAATATGAAACATTGTTCCGAATGACTTCTACCAATCAGGAGTGTGGATGCAACAGAAAAAGCAAATCGGAAATAGCAGTAATACAAAACATGTATCCTGCTTATCATGCATCCAGGCCGTAACGTGACAGGATTCTCAAAATCCGTAACCAACCCAAAGTGCTCACGACATTTCTCATTTGAGTTCAAGCATATTAACTATGGCATGGTGCCACGTACATGTTCTATTATCCTCTAGTTGCAGTCCAGTATGAATGATGTAGCAGTTTGAGTCTTGGATCCAGGGAGATAGTGTGTCAACATCATGGTCCAAAGGGCAACACATCCATTTAAATCAGTGACTGACTGAGCCTTCAGTGACAACACCAGTCCCCTGCCTGCCCATCTGTCTCTCTGTGAGCAGGCCTGACAACCACATCTCTAGTCGGCATGAAGTTAACATGTGATCAACTGGGGAATGTACAAGATCTCCCTTCATTGAAAATGTGTTAACAGAGACAGGGAACCACTAACACATTGCTTCGTCTACCTACGGCCTAGCATCCAGACTTCCACCTTTGAGGTAATTAATTACCTTCAAAAGGTTAGATTTAAGGAAGTGAGGGAGGAAGAAGGGCCTAGAGAGCAACCTTGAGAGACACTCATTAGGGGTGCAGGGAGTAAAGAAGGGTTGATGAATGGTTAGTAAGGGTTATACTGCTGAACGGTTGGTTAAAAAGGTTACCTGGTCTCCATGGGCGTGCCTGCCGATGATGATGGGTTTGACCCAGCCGGGCACCAGGCGAGGGATGTTCTTACAGATTATGGCCTCCCTGAACACGGTGCCTCCCAGGATGTTACGGATGGTTCCGTTGGGTGAGCGCCACATCTGTTTCAACTTGAACTCCTTCACCCGGTTCTCGTCCGGCGTGATGGTGGCACACTTAATGCCCACGTTGTATCGTCGCGTCGCCTCTGCCGCCTCAACGGTCACCTTGTCGTCCGTGGCGTCGCGGTTCTCCATGCCTAGGTCGTAGCTGATGGAAAGGCAGGGAGGGTAGCAGGAGAGAGGAGCAGGGAGGGGGAGATGAGAGAGGCAGGGAGAAAGGAGGAGAATGTAGTTACATTCAGGTTTTATGGGAGGACAAATGCCATGAAATGTGTGTGGGCCTGTGAAACTAATCTCTGTGACATTATATTATTTGTTTTACAGTTGGCTATATTATGATGCAATCATATTTAATTCTGATACAATTACTGTGTGTTTTTGTTTGATGTTGCTTTTAAGCCTTCTATAATGAAGTCAGTGGGGATTCCCAATCCAAACCACTACCTCAGATGACTGAACCACCTCACCATGGAGTCCCCTGCTCTAACAGTTCACAGAGCCACACTGTAGCGAAGCAGCATGGGACCCAGGAAACAACAAAGCCTTTCGGTTTCAATTTTTTTGTCACTGGCCTACACACAATACCCCATAATGTCAAAGTGGAATTATGTTTTTCAAATTTTTTACAAATTAATTACAGATGAAAAGCTGAAATGTCTTGAGTCAAGAAGTATTCAATCCCTTTGTTATGGCAAGCCTAAATAAGATCAGGAGTAAAAAAGTGCTAAACAAGTCACATAATAAGTTGCATTGACTCACTCGGTGTGCATTAATAGTGTTTAACAAGATTTCTGAATGACTACCTCATCTCTGTACCCCACACATACAATTATCTGTAAGGTCCCTCAGTCGAACAGTGAATTTCAAACACAGATTCAACCAAAGACCAGGGAGGTTTTCCAACGCCTCACAAAGAAGGGCACCTATTGGTAGATGAAAAAAACAAACAGACATTGAATATCCCTTTGAGCATGATGAAGTTATTAATTACACTTTGGATGGTGTACACCCAGTCACTACAATGATACAGGCGTCCTTCCTAACTCAGTTGCCGGAGAGGAAGGAAACCGCACAGGGATTTCAACATGAGGCCAATGGGGACTTTAAAACAGTTACATAGTTTAATGGCTGTGATAGGAGAAAACTGAGGATGGATGAAAAACATTGTAGTTACTTCACAATACTAACCTAATTGACAGAGTGAAAAGAAGGACGCCTGTACAAAATGTAAAAAATATTCCAAAACATGCATGCTGTTTGCAACTCACTAAAGTAATACTGAAAAAACAATGTGGAAAAGCAATTCATTCACTTTTTGTCCTGAATACAAAAGTGTAATGTTTGGAGCAAATCCAATACAACACATTACTGAGTCCTACTCTCCATATTATCAAGCATAGTGGTGGCTGCATTACATTTACATTTTAGTCATTTAGCAGACGCGCTTATCCAGAGCGACTTACAGAAGCAATTAGGGTTAAGTGCCTTGCTCAAGGGCACATCGACAGATTTTTCACCTAGTCGGCTCGGGGATTAGAACCAGCGACCTTTCGGTTACTGGCACAACGCTCTTACCCACTAAGCTACCTGCCGCCCCATCATGTTATGGGTATGCTTGTAATCGTTGAGGACCTGGGAGTTCTTCCAGAATAAAAACCACCAGACATTAAGTCACCTTTTAGCAGGACAATAATCTAAAATACAAGGCCAAATCTACACTGGAGTTGCTTACAAAGAAGACAGTGAATGTTCCTGAGTGGCCGAGTTACAGTTTTGACTTAAATCTGCTTGACAATCTATGGCAAGACCTGAAAATGGTTGTCTAGCAATGATCAACAACCAATATGACAGAGCTTGAAGAATTTTTAAAATAATAATGGGCAAATGTTGCACAATCCAGGTCTGGAATGCTCTTAGAGGCTTACCCAGAAAGATTCACAGCTGTAAATCAGTGCCAAAGGTTATTCTAACAAGTATTGACTTACAGGGTTGAATATTTATCTAATCAAGATATATTAGTGTGTGTGTGTGTGTGTGTGTGTGTGTGTGGGGGGGCTTTTCATATCAACTTTGACATGAGTGTTTTGTATAGATCATTGACAAAAAATTACAATTAAATCATTTTTAATCCCACTTAGTAACAACAAATTGTGGAAAAAGTCAAGGGGTGTGAATACTTTCTGAAGGCACTGTAGAAGATGCTAACAAAGAACTCCGTCTTTACAGGCTGCTGCATGACTGAACTAATTTATTACTCCTCTGAAAGACCCAACACATCCTCGCAGGGGATGGGGATGCTCTGCTCACACAAACAAGGTAGTGTAGGAAGGAACACTAGTTTCATCACTCCACAAATATAGAACTTTGTGTGTGCACTCATACTTCCAAAAAGGCAAAACTAAGCATAAATACCCATCATTTCCTTGTGGAAACTGGGCCTTCTGTAACTACCTTTCACCCAGTTTCTCATTCCACTCCCCTCCCCTCCCCCTTAGCCTAATATTACAACAATGTGCTGCTCCACAGAATTACTGTACATTAGATAAGAAATATTAGGATACACAATGTATGCACGCATGACTGTAAGTCGCTTTGGATAAAAGCGTCTGCTAAATGGCATATTATTTATATTATTATTATTTACAACCACAGGTCAGCACACAGTAGAGGTGTAACTCAATGTCACTGTGAAATCAGCACAAAAACACACACCATCTCTGAGACGGTGTGATACAGCACACAAGGTAGTTACACACAGCACTACAGGCTTTGTGTAATGGTGTGTGATGGAGATAAGCTGCTCTGCCTCCTGAGAGGGCTGTGTATGCAGTCGGAGTGATTGACCAAGATGACCTGTCCACTCACCCCACATCCCCCACCCACATCACAATGAATGCATTCCTAAGACTTTTGAAACTAATGAGGGTGCCCTTCAGACACACAGAAACCGAGACAGCAGGAATAACACAACCCACCAAGAAACCCCCCCACCTCAAGCTATCAGTTAGGCCTTCTTGCTTGACCAACTTCACAGATGCCATAATTTGATATTTTTTAATTACTCCCAAAAAACTTCCCTGGACATTTGTAATGACAGAGGTTAGGTCATGGGTTTGGAACACTGGGAGGTTTGTATCATGACTTGACCGTGCTCATGTGGCCCTGTTGGTTATAGAATTACTATTACACCAAATCCTCTTGCATTAATACTGAAAATATTGTGAAATAAGTAAGAACTCATAAGCTCTTACAAACCGACCTTATGCATTTATTCCGGGCCTTTAACTTAACAGTTCAAAACTCAGTTTTGAAGTTTAGTTAAGACAGAGGGTAAGGTCATGTAAATTGTGATATTCACTGCACTGCAGCCAAAGTCCTGTGTGTGTCAGTGTTAATTTAGTCACACAAAAAAATGAAAATATTGGTCAAACACATATTCTTCAGTGGCAATTAACGAGCCGATAACTGACTAAATAGACCTAGAAAAAATTATAACTAAACAAAAATAATTGTTTATTTTCAGTTGACGAAAATGAGAAGAGTAAATTATCTCTGTGACTAAAATCTGACTGGACAAGAGTTTTGGAGAGATTCAACCGCTCTCCAATCTGGCGGCAACACATCATTGATGCAAATAAGGCACATGCCATGGCTACTCTCCATGGCACAAGCTCCTGGTAGAAAAGGGGGCAACTTTTGGAGACACTTTACTTATCATGTCGATTCAAACAAGACCGAATGCAACGTTTCCACAGGAGAAGACCAGTGGTGTAAAGTACTTAGTAAAAATACTTTAAAGTACGACTTAAGTAGTTTGGGGGGGAAAATACTACCAACCTCAAGAGAAATCTGAAAGTGCACCATCCCAATATACTGTGTGTATATGTTCAGGTAATAAAAGCTTGATAATGCTAGCTAGTTAGTTTGCTACAACCTAACAGACCACTACTTATGACAGAACTTTGATTACAATATAGCTACAGTATGTCAAGGGGCAGGGCTCCAGACTGCGACCATTTAGTCGCATTTTGAGACCTTTTGACTTGGTTGTGCAAGTTACATTTTGAATTGGTCACATCAGCGCCAGCTGAACATTCATTATGGCCACATTACTCAAAAGTTTCAAAAAACTTTCAATTTTTTTGATTTGGTCAAACAGTAAAGTGCATTATCCTCACAATTCCTGTAATGAAAGAGTCTGCCCAGCTCCTGGGCCTGTTTTGCTGGGGCCTGCTGCATTGATGAGTGAGCTTCTGGTTGTACATTTCAAAATGTAATTGCGGGAAATACATAGCCTTGGATGCAACTAATGTTGTTCTCAACTTCCTATTTGTCATCTCTTAATATTGAGCTCAATAGCAACTATTGGCATCGGCCATTGCGAGTGAATCATGCATTCCTGCTTGGACATGTTAGATGAAATAACTTATTTATTGAATAGCCTACCATCTCAGTAGTCTATTACACAGTCTAAAGCACTGTGAATGACTTTATAAGGTGATAACAAATATTTTCTATTGTGTAACGCCAGGGGAAATAAATTGGTGCAACCAAATCATGGGCTGGTGCCACCAACTGAAAAAGTAATTTGCACCAGTGCCACCAGGAGAAAATGTTAGTCTGGAGCCCTGTCAATGGGTGATTTTTAATCTGCAGCTGAGTAATGTGTTCTTCTGCCAATTTGGCTGTTGGGAAGAGAATCATGCAATAGGATGCAATGCAGAAAAATTTGTTTGTAGAACAAGGCTGTTTGTGCACATGGAAGTAAGTGATTTATGTTTACTATAAGTTAATGAGGCAATAAAAATGTGATGTGACTAAAATGAAAGGGCTTTTAGTTGACTAAAATGGCCCACTGTTTGTCATTTTGACAATAACTAGACTAAATCAATATTCAAATTACAAAAATGTGACTAAGACTTAATGATATAAGACTAAATCTAAAAAATTGCGCCAAAATGAACACTGGTGTATGTGTGTGTGTTTTTTTAATAATTTTTTTATTTCACCTTTATTTAACCAGGTAAGCCAGTTGAGAACAAGTTCTCATTTACAACTGCGACCTGGCAGTGTGTCATCAGTCCACAGTCTAAAGGTCTAGTGTAAAAAGGAGGAATGGGAAACAATGAACGGTAATAGTGAATAGGACTCTAACAGTTCAGATATTACAGACCAAAGTTGTACATCTTGAAAACGATATTTTCTTGATTGTCCTAGGTCAGTCAGTAGAGTAGCAACTAGACTGCCAATGTCATGTGATCAGATTGTCTGGGGGTTTGGGTAATACATTGCTCTTTAAAACAGCTACACCTAGGGACAGACTTGTCCTCAGAATTTGAATATGCATTTGTCTATTCAAGTGATCAATTATTATACTAAATCCCCTTGATCTGGGCAGCACAACAGAAGCACACTTCTCTCTTATCTAACACTCCACACATGCTGAACAGACATCTAACACAGGGTAGCTTAAGAGTACAATAAAGAACACGTTTAAGTGATAATGCCAGAGAAGCCGGTGTTTGGAGGTATATTGGAATGGGTGGTCAAGGGCCTGCAAACCATGCCAATATATCCTCCAAACACCGGCTTCAAGGGCATTATCACTTTTATACAACGGGTTACCAACATATTCAAATAATGATTAATGTAAATATGTCAAAGACGTTATTTTTATTAATTTATTCATACCCTTTCATCCTTCCACAAGATATAGTCCAGACACAAATCTAGGGTTGCTACCCAAGCCGGCTGGTCGTTCTCTCTATCAGTTCGGTTGCTAAAGAAGCAATCCAGTCGTTCAGTCTTTTTGTTCTGTATCTATGGACGCGACCCAGTCGTTCGTTCTAAATGTTCCATTGCCATACTGGCTGGCAACGTTCTTATCCCTTGCTTGCTAGCTAGACAACTACGGCTAATTTACAGCCATAACAATGAGCTAATGAGGTGTGATTTCGCCTGGCATAGAAAATGTGCTCACTCGTCAGGACACTGTTGTTCAGATGAGCTAGCCAACAACACAGCTAACACAATCACTTCAAACTGAAGCTGGAAAGACTGCAAAATAGCTGCACTTCGTTTCGTTTGACCTTTTTCAATTGACATTTCTTTGTATACATCCATAAAAATGATGCCAGCTAATTCATGATTTTGACTGGCTGAGAAAAGCTGCCTGCCTGTCTGTCTCGTCCCGACTTCTGACACGTTCATTACTACGGGACATTTGGAGATCTAATTTAAATATTGAAACAATGTTGCAAATGTCGGAGAGACAGACAGCAAGGTTCATACAAATCTCCGCTGTTGAAAACTAAATGATAGTCTAAAAGAAATGTGAGATAATGTCTAGATGGTTTTTTTTTTTATAGTGGAGATCAATATTATAAATTGCTTGGCTGATGAGACAGTGGATTGTGCAGTCAGATGGAACAGAGTAAGCGTCATAGATTTAGCCAGTGGTAACTTGTAGAATAGACACCGGCTGGAATGCGGTTTTAACTCATCAGCATTCAGGATTAGACCCACCCATTGTATAATGCACAATAATATACAGTGACAACTAACACACAGGTGTGTCCTTGGTGATATTCAAATCAAATCAAATGTTATTGGTCACATACACGTGTTTAGCAGATGTTATTGCGGGTGTAGCGAAATGTTTGTGCTTCTAGCTCCGACAGTGCAGTAATATCTAACAATTTCACAACATATACCCAATACACACAAATCTAAGTAAGGAATAAATTAAGAATATATACATATATGGACAAGCGGTCAGAGCGGCATGGACTATGATACAGTAGAATAGTATAGAATACTGTATATACAGTGGGGGAAAAAAGTATTTAGTCAGCCACCAATTGTGCAAGTTCTCCCACTTAAAAAGATGAGAGGCCTGTAATTTTCATCATAGGTACACGTCAACTATGACAGACAAAATGAGGAAAAAGAATCCAGAAAATCACATTGTAGGATTTTTAATGAATTTATTTGCAAATTATGGTGGAAAATAAGTATTTGGTCAATAACAAAAGTTTCTCAATACTTTGTTATATACCCTTTGTTGGCAATGACACAGGTCAAACGTTTTCTGTAAGTCTTCACAAGGTTTTCACACACTGTTGCTGGTATTTTGGCCCATTCCTCCATGCAGATCTCCTCTAGAGCAGTGATGTTTTGGGGCTGTCGCTGGGCAACACGGACTTTCAACTCCCTCCAAAGATTTTCTATGGGGTTGAGATCTGGAGACTTGCTAGGCCACTCCAGGACCTTGAAATGCTTCTTACGAAGCCACTCCTTCGTTGCCCGGGCGGTGTGTTTGGGATCATTGTCATGCTGAAAGACCCAGCCACGTTTCATCTTCAATGCCCTTGCTGATGGAAGGAGGTTTTCACTCAAAATCTCACGATACATAGCCCCATTCATTCTTTCCTTTACACGGATCAGTCGTCCTGGTCCCTTTGCAGAAAAACAGCCCCAAAGCATGATGTTTCCACCCCCATGCTTCACAGTAGGTATGGTGTTCTTTGGATGCAACTCAGCATTCTTTGTCCTCCAAACACGACGAGTTGAGTTTTTACCAAAAAGTTATATTTTGGTTTCATCTGACCATATGACATTCTCCCAATCCTCTTCTGGATCATCCAAATGCACTCTAGCAAACTTCAGACGGGCCTGGACATGTACTGGCTTAAGCAGGGGGACACGTCTGGCACTGCAGGATTTGAGTCCCTGGCGGCGTAGTGTGTTACTGATGGTAGGCTTTGTTACTTTGGTCCCAGCTCTCTGCAGGTCATTCACTAGGTCCCCCCGTGTGGTTCTGGGATTTTTGCTCACTGTTCTTGTGATCATTTTGACCCCACGGGGTGAGATCTTGCGTGGAGCCCCAGATCGAGGGAGATTATCAGTGGTCTTGTATGTCTTCCATTTCCTAATAATTGCTCCCACAGTTGATTTCTTCAAACCAAGCTGCTTACCTATTGCAGATTCAGTCTTCCCAGCCTGATGCAGGTCTACAATTTTGTTTCTGGTTTCCTTTGACAGCTCTTTGGTCTTGGCCATAGTGGAATTTGGAGTGTGACTGAGGTTGTGGACAGGTGTCTTTTATACTGATAACAAGTTCAAACAGGTGCCATTAATACAGGTAACGAGTGGAGGACAGAGGAGCCTCTTAAAGAAGAAGTTACAGGTTTGTGAGAGCCAGAAATCTTGCTTGTTTGTAGGTGACCAAATACTTATTTTCCACCATAATTTGCAAATAAATTCATTAAAAATCCTACAATGTGATTTTCTGGATTTTTTTCTTCTCAATTTGTCTGTCATAGTTGACGTGTACCTATGATGAAAATGACAGGCCTCTCTCATCTTTTAAGTGGGAGAACTTGCACAATTGGTGGCTGACTAAATACTTGTTTTCCCCACTGTACATATGAGATGAGTAATTTACATTTTAGTCATTTAGCAGACACTCTTATCCAGAGCGACTTACAGTTAGTGGGTGCTAGTGGGTGCATACATTATTATTATTTTCATACTGGCCCCCCGTGGGAATCGAACCCACAACCCTGGTGTTGCAAACGCCATGCTCTACCAACTGAGCTACATCCCTGCCGGCCATTCCCTCCCCTACCCTGGACGACGCTGGGCCAATTGTGCGCCGCCCCATGGGTCTCCCGGTCACGGCCAGCTACTACAGAGCCTGGATTCAAACCAGGATCTCTAGTGGCACAGCTAGCACTGCGATGCAGTGCCTTAGACCACTGCGCCACTCGGGAGATGTAATGCAAGATATATAAACACTAAGTGGCTAGTGTTCCATTTCTTAAAGTGGCCAGTGATTTCTAGTTTATGTCTATAGGCAGCAGCCTCTAATGTGCTAGTGATGGCTGTTTAACAGTCTGATGGCCTTGAGATTGAAGCTGTTTTTCAGCCTCTCGTTCCCAGCTTTGATGCACCTGTATTGACCTCTCCTTCTGGATAATAGCGGGGTGACCAGGCAGTGGCTCGGGTGGTTGATGTCCTTGATGGCCTTCCTGTGACATCGGGTGCTGTAGGGCGGGTAGTTTGCCCCCTGTAATTTTTTTTATTTCACCTTTATTTAACCAGGTAAACCAGTTGAGAACAAGTTCTCATTTACAACTGCGACCTGGCCAAGATAAAGCAAAGCAGTGCGATAAAAACAACAACACAGAGTTACATATGGGGTAAAACAAAACAAAGTCAAAAATACAACAGAAATAAATATATATACAGTGTGTGCAAATGTAGCAAGTTATGGAGGTAAGGCAATAAATAGGCTATAGTGCAACATAATTACAATTAGTATTAACACTGGAATGATAGATGTGCAAGAGATGATGTGCAAATAGAGATACTGGGGTACAAATGAGCAAAATAAATAACAATATAGGGATGAGGTAGTTGGGCGGGCTAATTTCAGATGGGCTGTGTACAGGTGCAGTGATCGGTAAGGTGCTCTGACAACTGATGCTTAAAGTTAGTGAGGGAGATAAGTGTCTCCAGCTTCAGAGATTTTTGCAATGCGTTGGGCAGACCGTACCACACTCTGGAGAGCCTTGCGGTTGCGGGCGGTGCAGTTGCCGTACCAGGCGGTGATACAGCCCGACAGGATGCTCTCAATTGTGCATCTGTAAAAGTTTGTGAGGGTTTTTGGTGCCAAGCCAAATTTCTTTAGCCTCCTGAGATTGAAGAGGCTCTGTTGCGCCTTCTTCACCACGCTGTCTGTGTGGGTGGTCCATTTCAGTTTGTCAGTGATGTGTACGCCAAGGAACCTGAAGCTTTCCACCTTCTCCACTGCGGTCCCGTCGATGTGGATAGGGGGGTGGTGGACCCTCAGCTGTTTCCTGAAGTCCACGATCATCTCCTTTGTTTTGTTGACGTTGAGTGAGAGGCTATTTTCCTGGCACCACACTCTCAGAGCCCTCACCTCCTCCCTGTAGGCTGTCTCGTCATTGTTGGTAATCAAGCCTACTACTGTTGTGTCGTCTGCAAACTTGATGATTGAGTTGGAGGCGTGCAGTCATGGTGAACAGGGAGTACTGGAGTGGGCTAAACACGCACCCTTGTGGGGCCCCAGTGTTGAGGATCAGCGAAGTGGAGGAGTTGTTTCCTACCTTCACCACCTGGGAGCGGCCCGTCAGGAAATCTAGGACCCAGTTGCACAGGGCGGGGTTCAGACCCAGGGCCTCGAGCTTAATGATGAGCTTGGAGGGTACTATGGTGTTGAATGCTGAGCTATAGTCAATGAACAGCATTCTTAAATAGGATTTCCTCTTGTCCAGATGGGATAGGGCAGTGTGCAGAGTGATGGCGATTGCATCGTCTGTGGATCTATTGGGGCGGTAAGCAAATTGAAGTGGGTCTAGGGTGGCAGGTAAGGTAGAGGTGATGTCATCCTTGACTAGTCTCAAAGCACTTCATGATGACAGAGGTGAGTGCTACTGGGCGATAGTCGTTTAGTTCAGTTACCTTTGCTTTCTTGGGTACAGGAACAATGGTGGCCATCTTGAAGCATGTGGGGACAGCAGACTGGGATAGGGAGAGATTGAACATGTCCGTAAACACACCAGCCAGCTGGTCTGCGCATGCTCTGAGGACGCGGCTAGGGATGCCGTTTGGGCCGGCAGCCTTGCGAGGGTTAACACGTTTAAATGTTTTACTCACGTCGGCCACTGAGGAGGAGAGCCCACAGTCCTTGGTAGTGGGCCTAGTTGGTGGCACTGTGTTATCCTCAAAGTGGGCGAAGAAGGTGTTTAGCTTGTCCGGAAGCAAGACGTCGGTCTCGGCGACGTGGCTGGTTTTCCTTTTGTAGTCCGTGATTGTCTGTAGACCCTGCCACATACGTCTCGTGTAAGAGCCGTTGAATTGCGAATCCACTTTGTCTCTATACTGACGTTTTGCTTGTTTGATAGTCTTGCGGAGTGAATAACTACACTGTTTGCATTCTGCCATATTCCTAGTCACCTTGCCATGGTTAAATGCGGTGGTTCGCTCTTTCAGTTTTGCGCGAATGCTGCCATGTATCCACGGTTTCTGGTTAGGGTAGGTTTTAATAGTCACAGTGGGTACGACATCTCCTATACACTTCCTGATATACTCAGTTACCGTATCGGTGTATTCGTCTAAATTATTTTTTATCCCAGTCCGCGAGATCAAAACAATCCTGAAGCGTGGATTCCGATTGGTCAGACCAGTGTTTAATAGTCCTTAGCACGGGTACTTCCTGTTTGAGTTTCTGCCTATAGGAAGGGAGAAGTAAAATTGAGTTGTCGTCAGATTTGCCGAAAGGAGGGCGGGGGAGGGCCTTGTAAGCATCGCGGAAGTTTGAATAACAGTGGTCCAGTGTTTTAGCAGCGCGAGTACTACAGTCGACATGTTGATAGAACCTCGGCAGCTTAGTCCTCAAAATTTGCTTTGTTAAAACCCCCAACTACAATAAATGCAGCCCCAGGATATGTGGTTTCCAGTTTGCATGATGTCCAGTGAAGTTCTTTGAGGGCCGTCGTGGTATCGGCTTGAGGGGGGATATAAACAGCCATGGCTATAACTGAGGAAAATTCTCTTGGGAGATAATACGGTCTGCATTTGATTGTGAGGTATTCTAGGTCGGGTGAACAAAAGGACTTGAGTTCCTGTATGTTACTACAATTACACCCAGATATTGTGCTAGTGTCAAGGGTTAGCGAAGTGCACAGCTACTATTAGCATTTCCACATCACATGTGTGTACTCCTGAAACCTATAGGGACCTGACCTGACCAGGAAAAACTCTGGGCATTACAGAGAGTATTGACAATCAGGTAAAACCTGAATCACAGAGGAGCTGAAGCAGGTGTTGACAAGCTCATCTGGTGTGACAAGTCTTCTACCCCGACCCCCCATTAACAACCCCCTACCTCCCCTCCCATTGGTGCATTGTTACAGAACCTTCAGATAGACATATACTGTATAGAAAAACACATGCTTGCCTATCACGTAGATTCAGAACAAATCCGACTGAGCTCTATACATTCTAGTTGTATCTGTTGTGTTTTCTATAAAAATTGCACCCCACTGTCCCAGGTGTGTGTGTCAGCTGGGTCATAGTCACTAGAAAGCAAACGTGGGGGGGGTAATGTGCCAAAACCGGGAGGGGCTACCTGAATTTGTCCAATAAGAAGCGCTCATTTTCATTGCAAAACGCTTTGCTACAGTGTTCACTAATGAATACAGTACCAGGTGTATCAGCATGTGTAACTCACCTGTGCAGGTCCATCTCCAGGTAGGGGAAGATGAGCTTTTCTTTAATGAGCTCCCAGATGACTCTGGTCATCTCATCCCCCTGCATCTCCACCACCGACCCTGCCTTGATCTTCTGAGACATCCTGGAACCTGGGGGCCAGAGAGTGGGGGGATAGAGGGGGGAGAGAGACAGGAGAGGGGGAGAGAGAGTCAGACTCAATAGTAACAAGAAAGGGGCAACTGACAAGCTTGAGACTATACTGCCAAGCCTTTTGAGCATTGGAAGTTATTTCAGGAGTGATACTGTGAAGGCCATTTTAGCCAGCTACATAAAGAATGAATGAAGTTAATTCATACCTGGAACTTCAAGTTACCAGACCAGTGAGTCAGCATTTTCTTACATTTAAGTCATTTAGCAGATGCTCTTATCCAGAGCGACTTACAGGAGCAATTAGGGTTAAGTGCCTTGTTCAAGGGCACGACGACAGATTTTTTACCTAGTCGGATTGGGGATTCGAACCAGAGACCTTTCGGATACTGCCCCAAAGCCACTAGGCTACCTACCGCTTACCAGTGGCGTATATTCATGGATGCCAAGGGAAGCCAGGCTTCCCAAAAAAATGGACCAAAAAAATACACACTACCGTTCAAAAGTTTGGGGGCACTTAGAAATGTCCTTGTTCTCGAAAGAAAAGCAATTTTTTGGTCCATTAAAATAACATCAAATTGATCAGAAATACAGTACAGACATTCTTAATGTTGTAAACGGCTATTGTAGCTGGAAACGGCTGATTTTTTATGGAATATCTACATAGGCGTACAGAGGCCCATTATCAGCAACCATCAGTCCTGTGTTCCAATGGCACGTTGTGTTTGCTAATCCAAGTTTATCATTTTAAAAAGGCTAATTGATCATTAGAAAACCTTTTTGCAATTATGTTAGCACAGCTGAAAACTGTTGTGCTTGTTAAAACTGGCCTTCTTGAGACTAGTTGAGTATCTGGAACATCAGCGATTACAGGCTCAAAATGGCCAGAAACAAATAACTTTCTTCTGAAACTCGTCAGTCTATTCTTGTTCTGAGAAATGAAGGCTATTCCAAGCGAGAAATTGCCAAGAAAATGAAGATCTCGTACAACGCTGTGTACTACTCCCTTCACAGAACAGAGCAAACTGGCTCTAACCAGAATAGAAAGGAGTGGGAGGCCCCGGTGCACAACTGAGCAAGAGGACATATATATTAGAGTGTCTAGTTTGTGAAACATTTACATTTTAGTCATTTAGCAGATGCTCTTATCCAGAGCGACTTACAGGAGCAATTAGGGTTAGGTGCCTTGCTCAAGGGCACAGACAGAATTTTCACCTAGTCGGCTCAGGGATTAGAACCATTTACATTTTTACATTTTAGTCATCCAGAGTGACTTACAGTTAGTGAATGCATACATTATTTTTTATTTTATTTTTCATACTGGCCCCCCGTGGGAATCGAACCCACAACCCTGGCATTGCAAATGCCATGCTCTACCAACTGAGCTACATCCCTGCCGGCCATTCCCTCCCCTACCCTGGACGACGCTGGGCCAATTGTGCGCCGCCCCATGGGTCTCCCGGTCGCGGCCGGCTACGACAGAGCCTGGATTCGAACCAGGATCTCTAGTGGCACAGCTAGCACTGCGATGCAGTGCCTTAGACCACTGTAACCTTTCGGTTACTGGCACAACGCTCTTAACCACTAAGCTACCTGCCGCCCCAACAGACGCCTCACAGGTCCTCAACTGGCAGCTTCATTAAACAGTACCCGCAAAACACCAGTCTTAACGTCAACAGTGAAGAGGCGACTCCTGGATGCTGACCTTCTAGGCAGAGTTGCAAAGAAAAAGCCATATCTCAGACTGGCCAATAAAAAGAAAAGATTAAGATGGGCAAAAGAACACAGACACTGGACAGAGGAAGATTGGAAAAAAGTGTTAAGGACAGACAAATCAAAGTTTGAGGTGTTCGGATCAAAAAGAAGAACATTTGTGAGACGCAGACCAAATGAAAAGATGCTGGAGGAGTGCTTGATGCCATCTGTCAAGCATGGTGGAGGCGATGTGGTCTGGGGGTGCTTTGGTGGTGGTAAAGTGGGAGAGTTGTACAGGGTAAAAGGGATCTTGAATAAGGAAGGCTATCACTCCATTTTGCAACGCCATACCCTGTGGACGGCACTTGATTGGAGCCAATTTCCTCCTACAACAGGACAATGACCCAAAGCACAGATCCAAACTATGCAAGAACTATTTAGGGAAGAAGCAGTCAGCTGGTTTTCTGTCTATAATGGAGTAGCCAGCACAGTCACCGGATCTCAACCCTATTGAGCTGTTGTGGGAGCAGCTTGACCGTATGGTACGTAAGAAGTGCCCATCAAGCCAATCCAACTTGTGGGAGGTGCTTCAGGAAGCATGGGGTGAAATCTCTTCAGATTACCTCAACAAATTGACAACTAGAATGCCAAAGGTCTGCAAGGCTGTAATTGCTGAAAATTATTTGACGAAAGCAATGTTTGAAGGACACAATTATTTTTTCTATTATAAACATTATTTCTAACATTGTCAATGACTATATTTCCTATGCATTTTGCTATATTTCCTATTCAAACTCATTTCATGTATGTTTTCATGGAAAACAAGGAAATTTCTAAGTGACCCCAAACTTTTGAACGGTAGTGTATATAAAAAATAAATACATATCTTTCGTCTCTCTGTGTTTCATAATTTTCCTTCAATTTGCAAGAGGCTGAATGTAACTCATAGGAGAAAGCATCCGAGTGAGCGAAACCGCGTCCCTCTGTCTCTCTACGTGTAGGCCTTCTATCTGATGCTGTCTGGTCCAAACAAGTATGACATTGTTACCACCCATAGCATTGAAGGCAAGGGAAGCCAGCGAGCATTTGGCCTCCCTTGATAAAAAAGGTATACACAATTAGACAATCAGTGTTGAGCTAAACTGAGCATGCTCAACTGTGAATGGTTCTGGCGCACCAAAAAAAAGGTGGCAAGGGAAGCCGGCGTGGATTTTGGCGTCACTCTGATTAAATTAAATTGAGAGTATAAGTCATTGACAGAAAAACTTGAATTGTTGCATCTCGTTGTGTTGTTGTCCTCCAGTGGCTAGCTAGCTAGCTAGCTAAAATGGGCCCTTTCCTAAATTAATCAGGCTGTAATACACAATTAATTGGTATATACAGTCTGAAACTGAAGCCTGCAAAAGCATGTAAATGTTCCTTACAAGCCAGAATGTTGAATAAAATTACATTTAAACTTACTCTACTGGTTGTCTGAGTGGTTTTTCCTTCAGCTGCTCGAAATTTTAGACAAAATATCCACAGGAAAGCTGGTAGTTATATGGTTAGGTTTGGCACCTAGGTAAAGTTATTTTTATAATGGCTATTCAGTTCCCTTGTCCATAGCTATTGAACCAAGCATGCCATGACAACGAAAATTGTATATTTTTTCATTCAGATTTCAATCTTTTAAAAATTCTAACAAGAAATAAGGTGTGGTTTGTTCTCCATTCCCCATTTTCATTGCATGCTTGGTTCAATTGCTATTGACGAGAGAAAACCGAATATCCAATATAAAACTAACTTTTCCTAGGTCCCTGGAACCCAGCTCTCTAAAAAGTCTGGTAAACCATACTTTCCTGTGGATATTTTGTCTCAAATTTCGAGCAGCTTAAGGACAAACCGGTAGAGTAAGTTTAAATGTAATTGTATTCAACATTCTGGCTTTTAAGTAACATTTACACGATTTTGCAGGCATTAGTTTCAGGCCAATTAATTGTGTATTACAGCCTGATTTATCAGACTAACATGAACCCAGTTAACTCTGGATGCGAAGCAATCTGTAGTTTCACAAGTCTAACAAATACCTCGACCAAAATTAATTTATACAACTATTTCCTATTTCTCTGAAGTGTGAACATTGGATACATGACAGGCAGGATCTGTTCAGTTACTTCGACCAACAACAACCCTTGAGATAACTACTCAACAATGCAGTACTGGTGCTACAGTTTGGAGTAGATAGTCTACATTGTTTCTTCTGAAAACTTTGTATCAATGTTTCAACATTTGACCCAGAAAGAGCTGCCCCAGAATGTTACATGATAACACACATGGACATCGTATGATGAGGAGGAGCTAGTGGTCTAGGGATACACTGGCAAAGACTATACGAAGTTATAACCTTTAGTGCACTTAAGATCTAACGTTACAGTCTGTCTGAATGACCTAATGTTCATCCTGATTTTCTACTTCCTGAATGTGTGCACAATCAGCCGGGTGTGAAGAGAGCTGTCATTATCATCCTTTAGGACAAAGCTCAACACTTGTGATTGATTTTCAAAAGGCCTACATCTCTGGCTACGTTAAAACGATCTGAAAGCAACATTACAATGCATATTGTAGTGTATATTCCCGTATCAAGTACCCTACAGGGCACTGGTTTAAAGGACCCGATAGCTTATGTTAAATCCAACAATGGTTACAGTTGCAGAACACAATGGGGATTTGCGATGAGCACAAATATAAGCTTTTCGGCCTAATGAGCGACTCTCCTGAAATGCATAAGAAGATGTTATGAATGCCTACCTTCGTTTTCTAACTGAACCCCAATCTGAACAAGTAATACTCGATGAAGCAGTGGAACGTCTTGTTCTACACCGAGTTCCAGAAAGAGAGGCGCGGTCCCATATAAATAGAGGCGTCAACCTTGTCGGCAACCGTGCATCCGCCCGCTCGAAAGACACTCCCTGTACCAATCAACGGAGATGTATAATCTAAAACAGCCAATAAAGTAACCCCCACACAGCTGTGGGAGGGTCTTTATGGGCGGGTATCGTATCGGGTAGATGTTTGTGCTATGCTAATTGTTGCAACATAAGGACCTGTTCATATCAAAGTTATTTAGAAATTCGGTTGATTTATAGATCAGATCATCTGCGGTAGGTTTTGTCCCAAAAAAAATTGCGTCACATGACATTCATGCGCTTTCAAATAAACCTATTTCAATAGATTTAGTTACTAGGCTATCACCAGAGAGGAACGGGTTAAGCGAGAGGGATAACTGGGCCCAAAATCTGTCTTCTCCAGCAGGTGGCGCT